CTCTCTCTTTCTCCCGATTTCACAGCAGCGACAAGTGTTGCGCTACCATTCGGTGTTACTGTTGCAGAAGCACTCGACACTACCATTGCCTGAGATTTGGGTGTTGTTATTGGTTGTGCGCTTGAGATTTGGGTGTTTTTATTTTTATGATGTTAGTTGTCGTTGCAGCAGCGCTCAGCACTCGTTGTCGCCTGAGATTTGGGTGTTGTTATAGGTTGTGCTTTTGGTGCCGCCGTTTGAGATATGGGTGTTATTCGTTGTGCACCTGAGATTTGAGTGGTGGTGAGATGACTTGACATTTGATTTAGTGTCGGTGGCGAGGTTGGGGTGGGAATAGGATGAACGTGTTTATGACCAACTATTTGGGATGTGATGGCATAAAAAGTGTTTGTGACTAATTATGCGGGTTATTTGTGACCAACTATTGGTGTCGGTGGTGGGATTGCAGTGGGCGGATAGTGGGAAAAAGAGTGTTTGCGGCCAACAATTTATATGTTTGTGACCAACTATTTGGTTGATTTGTAACCAAGTAACTGTTTTGGTGTTTGTGATCAACTATTTAGTTAATTTGTGACCAACTATTTAATATGTGGAATAAATAATATGTGACCGATAAAATGAATAACTTCTAACCAATAAATAATATGTGACGCAAAAATTTGATAATTTGTAACTGAGAAATAACTTGTAACTAATTAATTTAATAATTTGTGACCTTGAAATAAGTTGGAATCTATATGATTTGTAATCAATAAATTAATTGTAACCTATAAATTTTTTGATTCGTAATCAAAAAATAATTTACGACTAATAAATAAGTTGTGATCTATAACTTTTAAGTAAGTATTTGTGACCATAAATTGTATAATTGTAATCTTAATATATTTAATTAATAAAAAGATATTTAATTATTTATTTACCATCCGAGTTTTGGAATTGTAAACCTGTTCTCTTAAAATTAAATTGACCATACTTAATGCCCGATAAAATGTACTTTTCTCCATTACTAATCTACAGACGGGCTATAAACTTTCGGTTTTCATATTGGGCTTTGATTCTTAGTAGACCATAACTAACACAAGTCCAACTCATCATCCACGGACCAGCCCAACATCTAAAAATATTAGAGCCCAAAAATAAAAAATGAAGGATAGCTTTCGACCAATCTCTCTGACCATTTGTGTCGCCAACTGTTGCAAAAGGGGCAATGGCGAGGTGGAGGAAAAAAGATATGTTGGTGGTAAAAGTTGGTGGCGGGGCAACGGAAAAATTGTATATATCCATGACCGGATTACAAGTCGGACTAATACGTAAAAAAATAAAAATAAAAAAAAATTTACACATGAACCAAAAAAAAAGTCAGTAGGTTGGGGGCCAAGTCCCCCTTACATCCGTCCTTGCGCAACATGTTTTTCTTTAGAAAACCGTTTTCCATTTTTCATGATTGTAGCAAAGTTGGTCTCGTGAGACAATTTCTATCTACCTGACCATTAAAATTTTATTTATTTTATTGAAAAAATATTACACCTTTTTTAATAAAAAATAAATAAAAAGACAAAAAATGTAAAATTGATCATCTTCTCCAAATGCAACAAACCACAGCACCGTAGAGGTTGAGGAGAGCGGTGCTGGAGGCTAGAGGAGATTAATTTCTCTCTCTCTCTCTCTTTTTTTTTTTTTACTTATTTGTTTATTGAAATTAAGTGCTTGCTTTTTTTAATCCTTAATATGTCATACGTGTGTAACTCACCTGACTTTTTAATAAGGGAGATGTTAGAGACATATCACCTCTTACATCGGGGTGTCCATTAGGCGCCTCCTCATTGGAGGGAGGGTCAGTGGGGTTGGCACTTCCTCCAATGAGGAGGTGTCAGGTGTCTATGTGTAAATGGTGATGTACTACTAGAATAATCATTTTAGTAAATAGTCAAGCAGCTAGAAATCGTCCTTTAGGCACCAATTTAACACAATGTAATAGATAAGTGACTACTCTTACAAAAAAAATGAGATTGAGGTTGAGGGAGGGCTAACTTATAATTACACACAAAAATGTCAGAAATCTCAATGCCATTTTCTCCTAATTTGTTTCGTTAAATGGTATTTAAACTAGAATAATGTTATTTGTATATAACGCGTTACATAATGGTTCACATATAGACGATGTGTCAAAAAGAAAGTGAAAGTTTTTGTTTTTTATATTTGGTTGACGAAATTCTGACGCAATTATATCTCTTAATATTAATTAATAATGTGTACGAAATGTACTCTTAATAATTAAATAAAATATCTGCATTTAATAGAAATTACCAGCACAACTTTGACTTAATTGCTCTCCACTAAAGGACAGCCTCTGCCTTAATGGCTGGCCACATGCTTCCATTATCCCATACTCAAGCCATCAATTACTCAAGTAAAACGTATAAATTTATATTTTTAATCCTTCTAACTTTCAATTATTATTTTTTAAAAAAAAAATTATACGATTTTGACAGACTGTCGACCTTCCTAGTATGTACAAGTGGATTGTGCTATGTATACATAATCTTTTACACAATCTTTTAAACCCTCTCACATGGAGGAGGGCCCACACACAATAAAATATTTGTGAGCCCCACTTCATGTGAGGAGAGTGTAAAAGATTGTGTACACATAGCATTATCCATGTACATGTAGTGTTCTAAAATTTTAAATTTCCACCTAGGCACATGGCATGTCTAGGCGCCCGACCATATTTTCTTATTTTGAAGTCTAGACCAACAAATGCTCAATCGCTAATACATAAAAAGGAAACAAGTCCAATAGAAAATTGACCCTAGCACAAAAATCCAACACACGACATGGTTTTTTTGGCCCACGAACAAAGCATTATTTATTTTGGATGTTTATGATTTCGAAAATTATTTTTTTATTGAAAACTGAAAAATATGTACGAAATTCGTATAAATTTTAAGGTATGTACTAATTTATTTATTTATTGGTCTAGAATAATTAAAATAATAAAAAATAGAAAAACATATTATTGCGCCTAGGCAAATGCATCGTGCTTGATGCTTGAGCTCCTAATCTAGTCACGTCTTACACCTTTTACAACCGTGTTTATAAGTGTAAGTCACGGATTCCCTTTCCATATTTTACAAAAGACTGCTTATATAGAAAAATAAAATTGAGTCTCCAAATTGATATATCATTCGGAAGTCAATTAGTGGCAATTAGGAATATGATTGATAATGTTTCTTATGTTTATATATGCAAGTGGAGTTTAAAGAACATTGACAGCCATTTTTTAGTCAAAATTAGGCTGCTAAGATGGACACGATGACGAAATCCTATGTCTTTACGAGGTGGTGACGGGTAACAATAATTTTATAGTTGAAGTTACGAACTACTTTATATCTATCGGCCACCAATAAAATGCTAGTATATGTAAAGTTGTGTCTTACACTGGTTTGTGATATATGAAAATCTCTACAATCGAACTAGAAGACCAGTGTTCTGATTCACTTGATTGTTCTGATTCACTTGATTTCTTCATTCTTCATTATATTGACATTACGAGACGACGATCAAGAATTTCAGAACAAGGATTCACATCCCATATCTACATAACATACTTATCCTTTGAAGGATTAACAAACTCCTAATTCTTACATTGAATAGTCGTAGATAAAAACTTTAATTATACTTGTTTTCTATCTACAACCCACATTTATTTAGTAGGTGTTCGGTAGGTATTAAAATTAGATTTTTAGTAGATTGTGATAGAAGTTTTTGAAATGTATGGTTGAAAAGTTGTGGTACCCATAAAAGGTGTGGTTAATATTAATTGTTTGATTTTGACTTAAATTAAGATCCGATTTTAATCTGAAACAAACATGGTCCTAAAACTAGCCTAAAGGATAGGTACTAATTAGTATCCGAGTATAGTATAGGGCTATGGAGGAAAATAAAAAAATCGTGGGGCCTTATGAGATGAGGACCATTCCATGATGTAAAACTATCTCTTTCAAAAATGGCTTTTTGGTGGGGCCATGACAGTGTCTATTAGCCTTGATTAGGCTCTTTCTCAACAACAAATAAACAGAAGCCTCCTTGAAAAGGCAGCCTTACAATCATTCATAATAGCGCCCAGTGGACGTATGTATTAGAAGCTTGCCATTAACAAAGGAAAACAATTAGTTTGCTACTTTCGACAATATTGGTCCGTTTGGTAGTACTTCTACTTTTATTTATACTCTGTAAAAGTCTTTTTATCTAAAAAAGAAACACTTTCAAAAAATTATTCCGATCAAAAGAAACTTCGTCTTAAAAACTTCATCTTAGAAGCCGTTTTTGAAACTTGTGCAACGGACCCTTAAAGATTTAGAAAATAATGATGGTACAATATCACGAATATGTTTGCTAGGTTGGAATTTGACATTGTTAAAGAATAAAGATATATGAATATACGTAAATGTTAAACTTCATCGAACTCGTTTTTGAGTTCTCCATTTATTTGTAGTATAGACATTCAATAAATTTTTGAGTTTACAACTTTATTTAGAGAGATGCTATGAGTACAGAAAAAATTCACAGGTTTTTGCTCATGCTACAGCCAAAAACAGTTTTTGACAGCAGCAAATCACAGTAAGACAGCCGTCTTCTTGTGCAAAAACCTATGGAATTTTTCTATACCTGTAGATTTATTCTAACATATAACAAATCAACCGTACATAATAATCAATAATAATATATTTAATTCAAGGAGATTTAATTACAATCACAACCACAACCAAACTGACTCTTTTACATACCTAGAAGCCACTCCTCAAATCTCCATTTGACTGGTTTTAATTAGAATATCACGAGCGGCATTTCCAAATAATACAAATTTATATTAATAATTTTACTTAAGACTAATAGAACTAATTAATAAGAATAAGACAAATAAAAAACTTTTTTTAAAAAATTATTTTTCATCCCTTGTTCACCGTTGAAACCTTGAACAAACTCCCACCACAAGATTAATAATCAAACATATCAGCTGAGGCCATGATTGGTTGTTGATTAAGGTACATTAAATTCCATGGATTGTTCAAGAAGCCATCATAAAACCCTTGAAACTCCTCAGCCTGGAACATGCAGTTGGTGGCTGGCTCCGCCGCCGCCGCAGTAGTGGCAGCGACGGTGGCTGTGTTGCTGTTGATGTAATTAAGGATTTCATTGAGGGATTGCAGTCTTTGGCTGAGTTCCATCATTTGAGCACTCAAGACTGAGTTTTCAGCCTCCACATTCATGTAGTGCTGTGTGGTGACATTTATTCTTGTAAGAATCAGGTTATTTTCATCCTTCAACTCAGTCACTTTAGCCATCATATCATCCAAATGCTTCTGCTTTCTCAATCGGGATCGCCTCGCCGATTCTCGATTCGATTGCATTCTCTTCCTCTTCCTTTGATCCATCGACTGCTGCAAATCTCCTTCAGAACCAGAGTTCTGAATCTGTGTAGACCCTGAAGAATTTCCACTCGACGAAGCCATTTTTCTTATACCCACACCAAAAGATAGATTAAAAACTTATTAGATATAAGTCAGCTATATGTATAAATATTCAAGGCTCGACTGAAAGCTTGTTTATGAAAACACGTAAAACCAGTAAAGGAATACAACGGATAAAGATTGAACTAGATGGGTTCTGCGTCTCAGGGAGGAATTGATCGTAAAACCAGAACGGAGGATTTCACTGAGTACAGTATACATGAATCTCAAACATCAAAAACCAAATATGCAGCATCAAGGCTATACTAAATCAAAACCTAGAAATCTGAAGAAGAAAAGGCAGGGAAGCAGAATAATAATAGTATACTGGAAACTTAAAATCTAAAGAGAAGAAAGAAAAGAGAAGAGGAAGAGGTTTTTGAGGTTGGGGAAGGGTCAGATTTATAGGGGAAAAAGGGTAAATCAAGAAAATTCCAGAAAATAGAAAAAATGATATTTTAAACGAAAAAGGGAAAGTGGTGGGAAAGGCGAAGGGATTTGGAATCTCCTGTGATAGTTGTTAGAGAGAGAGAGGAGGGGGTGTGGATGAAGCATGTGGGGTGGAGAAGATATTGAGAGAAGAGTCCAATAACACAGCTGTGTGGCTGACAGTGGGCATCACCAATTTACTGAAATCAATGGGTCTGACAAATTACGTACCTTGATTTCACCAATTTTGTCATTTTTATTTTTATTTTTTGAAATTTACAGTTGGTGGGGTGAGAGAATGAGAGATGCCACTTGAGCTACTTTTGAGAGATTTTTTCAAGTAAATATTATTTTTTTTTAAAAAAAATGTGTGGTAAAAAAAATAGGAAAAAATTACGATTACATTAAATTTAATTTTTATTTTTTATAAAAAATCTCTTCCAACCAATTTATGAGAGTGAATATTATTTCTTGATTTGTATAATGAATTAAGTGTTTGTTTAGAAAAGTTCAAAATTTTGCTANAATGAATTAAGTGTTTGTTTAGAAAAGTTCAAAATTTTGCTACAAATTGCTTAAAAATTTTATATTTAGCATTTGTTTTGTGTAGATTAAAATCAGATATTTAACCCTTGTTTGACCACATTTTTTGAAGAATATATTTTTTTCAAAAATTCATTTTCAACCACACATTCCTACATAAAATAATTATACACTTAATTCGACAAAAAATTATGACTGTTTAACTACATATTTTTCAAAAAAATCACTATTTCATAATATATTTTACCCCAAAAATGGGAATCAAACAAGGGATTAGTAAATTTTGATCAACGGGTGGTTGAAGAATTCTGAATTACATAACATATGTAGATAAAATTAAGCCCCTATTTGACAACCATTATTTAAATATTTTTTTTTACATATTCATTTTCAACCACATATTCATACAATAAAATATTCTACACGTAAATTCAAAAAAAAAATTTTACTGTTTATCAGCACATTATCCTAAAAACCACTATTTAAAACATCGTTTTAGCTAAATAATGACCATCAAACGAGGACTTATAGTAAACTTTACCTTCAAATTTTAATCTGATTTTGAACTCCATCAAACGTAGGCTTAATCATTAAAAAGAAGAATACTTACTCGTCCGTCCTTGTATATTACAATCAAGTTTTCATAATAGAACGCAAAGTTTCATTCGTATTATTCACATTAATCTCTCTTCACAAAAAAAGTTTACAATATTTTGGTACGAAACGCAATTATTTGTACAAGCAAATGTGTGAGTTATGGTTGTCTCGTTGATTCGAATCCTACTATAAGGAAATTGATAGAGAAGATTGATTACCTCTAAGAGAAAATTGAAAAGTGACCCTTGAAGTTCTCGTGCGTAAATGATTTAACCAGCAACCAAGAGACCTTTACAAGATTTTCACATGTATAATTTGGTCAATTAAAATATCATGAAGAACATACGCAAGTCAAAGAAAAAAACCTTCCAGCTATGCATCTGCTTGTTGTGATACCTTAAAATCATCAAGATTTGACTTTTGAATAATAAGTTAATGAATTTTCTCCAAAACAATTAAGGTTACATACAGGTCAAGATTGACGATTCAAAATCATACTAATGAATATTAAGAAGTTAAAAAATTTCTATTACATCATTCATACTTCTCGTGAAATATACCTTTTCCTATACAAAATATATGGATATGAGACTCGATTTATTGATCTTATCATTTATTGTCATTTTATATGATGATTATCCCCAGTTTGTACATATTGCATTACTCCGGTAAATATATAACCAAACCTTTCCATAGTTAGCCGTTATAGATCGATAGATATTTATATTTGTTAATTATTGATGACAACAAATAATGTGGCACTTTTAGGTCAACTTTGAAAAAAATTAACAAAATAACTGAGTTATATTTATTGAAATTAAATATTTTAGGGGAGTAATTTGCTGGAATTTTAGTACAAGTGGCATAGAGAGAGATTCTCAACCGCTAGGCCTTCTTGTGGGCCTCCACCTCTATATATTGGCATTCAAAAATGCTGCTTGTACAGGACCTGCTTGACAGGTCCCTTACAGGCAAGACACAATGGTGGGCCCCATCATTGTTTTAAAAAAATAAAAAAATAATAAGCACGGCCCCACATGGCCTGTAAGGGACCTATCAAGTAAGTCCTGTACACGCAGCATGGCTCATTGGCATTAGACAATGTTCGATCTAGGGATGTGTGTAACCATCATTTTTTAAAAGATTTGATTGACTGGAGAGTATGATTGCGACGGGATCATCATGATACTTGAATCATAGTTCTACACCTTAGGTCATCGTGACTTTTCTTTGATTGGGTGTTGCCCCAGCCGAGGGTACCACATTTTCAATTATGTCGTAATTAAGTTTTCAATTGACATCTCCCATAAGCTGGCCTCTGTGGATGGGGTCTTGGGTTGACTTTTCGTCTTGTCTTGCTTTGACTTAGATTATAAAGGCTCCTTTGACCAGATCAATGTGAATCTCGAAATCATATGACTTTGGATTTTAGATCGGCATCAACGTTAATCAACTAATTTTCAATAAAATTAATGATAATTGAGTAACTATTGACTATTTTGGTCAAAACGATTATAGAATTATAGATTTCCATTAATTTTCTTCTGATGGTTATCTTGTTGCACATGTAATTGAGTTATGTATCCCTGGTAGAAGATAACCCTTTACAAGTCAAAAAATTGATTTTGGACAAATAATTAATATGTCAAAATGTCACATGTTCAACAAACGTGGTCTTATTCAAAATGCCAGCCACTTTTTAGTCATAAATCACGCACTAGTTAGTGAATTAAAATATCTGTAATAAGCAAAAGATGTTTTGATAAATGTTTGGGCCATTCGGTCTATGACGACGGCCGTGCAAGTTGTAAATTATTAACAAAAAGAATGATGATTTAGATAATTGTGTTACGTCTTTTATAGATTTAAATAAGTGTTTAATTATCATAGTGAAAAATTAAATGATACTTATAAATGAGAAAATAGTTATTTTTCCTTTTTATTTTATTTTATATTCAAGATTTCTGTTAAAATATAAGTTTGAGTTCCACCTTTTATCGATGAACAAAGCCATATGTACAGAAATAAGTTTCGCAGAAGTTTTACACACGCTTACATCGGTTGGCCCATGCGGGACCCATGGTAATAAAAAATTGCCAAAAAAATCCTCACCTCCCTTCCCCCGTATCGTGAGGTATCGGTGGGTGTTCCTATACCCATAGCACAACTCTTTATCAATGGGTGGAAAAGTGTTTTTAATGTGAAAAGGGAAAGACGTGGGCAGGGTAGGGACCTCTTATGAGAGTGTGATGTTGTTCTGTTGGGATTTAACATTGTGGAGGGTTAAATGAGTCAATTTCCACAATTAGGGTAGAAATATTTTAGAATTTCGTTTCAATGCATTTTATTTTTCTAATTTTAGCAAACTATGTATACATATCTTAAAATTGGGGTTTAAAAACTTTTTTCCATTGCTTGTCATATATCTTGAGAGACATTTAAAGATTTTAATATCTTAAAAACTAAAAAGCTATGAAAGGTAGAGTGGAGGTCAGGGTGTTAAGTGGGGGTGAGTCGATAGTTAGTTTGGTTTGTTCCAATAGCGAGTCGAGCAGGCTCTTCGTGCCTGAGCTAAGCAATGAATTTTTGGTGTGAACCGACTCGTCATAACTAGTGAAAAATACAATCTCAATAAAAAATAAAAGAATTGACGAGCTATAATCAGCTTGAGTTGACTCATATAACACCCCAAAGTAGAGTGGTGAAATGTGTCAATATGGTCCGTCTTTCTATTTTGGTGAATTAGCTACCTAGTCTAATAGATTTTTTTAATTAATTTTCTAATTTTTTTAAAAAAATTAAACATCCGCCATGCTCGAAACTAGAGAGTCAAATATGGCACACTATGTCGTTATGTTGATTTATTCACTTTTTGACTTCTAAATAGTGAAACGAGGTAAAGGAATTGGATGATCTTGGCATAAAAAGTTGAACGAATTATAGAATAATATCGTGCCAAAATTACCTAATAAAAAGTAGATCTTGATTCAACACTATGTAAGAATACTATTATAGTAGAAGAAATGAAGAATCCATGCCATGTGATGTTAATTGGCACATTTGGTCTTGTATGTACATATTTGTCAAAGCAACATAAGAAATGTTTAGACCAAAGTGCCAAATGATGTACTTTGATGTACTATTTTGTAATTAATTATATTTTAAACACCATTATAATTTTCTTTATTTAACCCTTGTTTGAAAGCAATTATTTAAAAATTATTTTTCCCATACTCATTTTTAATCGAATAATTTTACATGACATTAAGCCCTCGTTTGGCCCTCATATATTAAAAGTCATTTTTAATCACATATTTTTTGAAATTCATAATTTTTTATTAACTATATATTTCATTAACTTTTATCAAAATTTACTAAAAGTCTGATTTTTATCAAAACCAAACAGGAGCTTGTATCATCCACAAATTACAACT